CTTCAAGCTGGAAAGGTGCCTGCTAGAAGCTTGCTGGTCAAGAGGAAATGTCCCACGAAACCGTACTTATATAAGCAGAGAAAGATCCATTGTCTGTGACCAGTTATAACTAACCATTACCTGTAAGCCCTGCAGCCTCAAGTTTCATTCAATTAGTTGTGCGGCAAGCTTGGCAAGTGTTCGCGTAAAGTTGCCTATCATACTCGTCCGCCGCGCTGGTAAGAATTTGCGCGCGACGTGCGCGGCCAAGCGTCGACCAAGCGCGGCGTGACTCCTGACGTCGGGCGGCGTGGCAGGAGTTCAAAGCCAAGCCGCTTTTTCTCGCAGGGGTACTTGGCACCTACAGAAATCCCTTGGAGGACATCACACCTTCTCGGGTCAGAGGGCGGCTCCGCCCATCACTCCTCCCTCTAGGCGCCCTCATTCTGAATTGTGTACACGCACGCTAAGACGTGTTTCATTGTATATGATAATAATCGAACTGAGATCAAGAAACAAACAAAAAATTCTAGGTTTCCATGAGGATACAGAATCCGTAAATAATTTTGGTCATGTTTTCGGATAATGACGCTTTCTTGAAAACTTGTAAGTACTCGCGTTTGAGTGGGCTTGTGAAGCATATCATATTAAAACAAAGTAAAAATATAGATCATTAATATAGATCAAGCAGAAGTTATGAGTCTTCCAGCTAAAGATATAGAAGCGAAAGCAAATTCACGCACGCTCTAAAATTCATTTAAAAATATAAATACCATATTTTTCAAATCTAGTGTCGTATTTGGAGCTCTTAGCCAACTCTTGATCATGCGACGAAGTTTGTTATTCTAGTACGTCGATTATAGGGAATACTACATTTTTCTGAATCTTTCCTGAAAATTTCTGATAATTTGGATTTTATTGATCGTTAGTGTGTAGTTGAGTTGGAATATATGATGGCAGACGGAAGCAGGGAAGTGTATGTTTTCAAATGTCCTAGCTATTACAGAAAACGTTGAGTTAATTATCCGGAAACTTTGCTATGCTCCTTTCAAAATAGGTTCTTCTAATTTTGAGAAGGTAATCGGGTTCTTGGCCACTTCTGGTCACCCATTTATCAAATATTTTTGGTGCTAAATCAGTTTGATCAGATGACCAGTAAGATACAACTAAAGAACTAGATCCTCAGATATTTCGAATGGGCGGGTTTTCTGCTCAAAAAATTCTGTGCAATTTTTCTCTTCTGAGGATAATGTTCATGTATTCATTTTTGAAAGGTTGACGCAGCAGAAGTTTCCCAGGCCTCCTCACCTGAGAGATGATAACTATGTTTTTCGTTCATCTCCATGTCTTCTCATATTACCTAATAAGTGAATCTATGTTCTCGCTGCTGGCTCACTTCACAATGAGACCAGTGAATGGGTGGAGCAATGGGCGGAGACTGACCTCTGAGGCGCGAAGGTGCTAGAACCCTCCTGGGTGCGAATGCTGGTGCGAAGTTGGTGCGAGGAAAGGTGCTAGGAACTCCTGCACGCCCTCCCTGACGTCGAGCCCTTCGCACCAGCATTCGCACCCAGGAGGCTTCTAGCACCTTGGCGCTTCAGAGGTCAGGTCACGCCCATTGCTCCACCCATTTACTGGTCTCATTGTGAGGTGTGCAAGCAGCGAGAGCACAGATTCAGTATATAAGTAATAAGGGAAGAAAACTGGAGAAAAACCGAAGAACATAATTATCATTTCTCAAGTGAAATTTCTGCTGCACCATCATTTCAAAATGAGCATGTGAACATTATTTTCAAAAGATAAATTGCACAGAATTTTTTGTATGAAACCCGGTCATTCGAAATAACAGAGAATGTAGTTGATCAATTGTAAATTCCTGGTCATTTGATTGAAATAATTTAGCATCAGGAGTTGAATAATGAGTGACGAAGTGGTGTAGTACCCCATTACCTAACATTGGAATTATCTATCTGGAAAGGAGTATATAAAAGTTTTCGAATAAGCAACTCAACGCTTTTCCCAGTAGTTAGGATATTGAACATATATACTTTCCTACTTTCGTCTGCCATCATAGAATTTTTCATTTCAATTAGTCCAATGATCAGTAAGATTGTGATTATCAAAAACCAATATATAAGTGTAGTATTTCCATGTGCTAGAATACCAAACTGGCGCATGTTTGATTGAAGAGTTGGCCAAGAGTTCCGAATATGACATTAAATTTGCAAGTTAATTTTATTTGCTATAATTCTTAGATGAACTTTAGAACTTGCGTGTAATTGACTGACTTCTCTGTCATATACTGTGACTGGAAGAATCATAACTTCTGCTTGATTTATATTAATACACATATTTCACAAATTTACTCTAGCGCGAGCACTTACAAAATTTTGAGAAAGCGTCATTTTATCCGAAAACGTGAGTGAAAGCTAACTCGAAATGCTGGAAAGTCAGCTGCAGTCATGTACGAATCCTAAATCCTTACCCTGAAGGACTTTTTTGTTTCTCGATTCCAGTGCTATCATCTTCAAAAACAATACACGTCTTATAGTGTATGTACACATTCATAACGAGGGCAGCTAGAGGGAGTGATGGGCGGAGCCGCCCTTTGCCCCCGAGAAGGTGTGATGTCCTCTAAGAGATTTTTGGAGGTGTCAAGTACCCCTGCGAGGAAAAGCGGCTAGGCTGTGGGAACTCCTGCCACGCCGCCCGTCCCGACAGATCAGAAACATAATTGTGTGCTAATCCAGCAGCACATTGGACACTTCAGAAACAAGACAACCAGTGATAGCAAGGAATTAAAAATTATAAACTTCGACTAGGAAAAATCATGAGAGAATGCCATGGTTCCCCCCCCCTGGTCGACATTTTATAATTTCTCTACCAAGTGAAACACACTTTACCGGGTGGGTTGCGACCGCTGTGACCCCCTTTACCCTGGAGGGGTCATTCTCACCTTATCGCGCCTATATGACTTCCTAGGCGAAGGCAATCTCGCCATACCCTCGATACATAGAGCCACATACTCTGGTAACCTTCACTTTGAGGGCTATGAGGGGACACAACCTTCATCTGGGAAAAAAACAGAAGTCATCCGGGGCGAAGCCCCGGATGTTATTTTCCTGACTATATTGGAAGAATGTGAATGAACCAAATATAGAAAAGAATATCTGAAGAATGTCTCAGCGAAACCGAGAAAATGCTTTTTTAAAGCCTTTTTCACGCTGAAAAGAGAATTTCTGAGAAAGTTACCTCAGAATTCAGGACAACGTTCCTCAGTTAGCCTCTCACTTGACCAAAAATGAGTTTCAAAAGTTTAAAAAGCTGTTGGAGTGGAATTAAAATGAGAAACTGCGCTTAAATGTGCGCAGAGAGTCGCGCACGAAAATGCTGGTCTATCTCGTTAGTAAGTGACTTTTGGTGCTTGGGACGTTGTCAGCTCTCCTCGTCGTGTCATGACGGTCAGAATGATATATAATGTTACAGGGTTTTGTTGAGCCCCCATCGAGATCTACGACCAGAGCCAAATGCCCCGTCGGCTCTGGTCTGTCTCCGCTGCTCGTCTGCGTCTTCGCGCGCTGCGCGCTACCTCGCTACCCCAAACACGGGGCGCGGGGCATTTGGCTCTGGTACCCTTTTCTTCACTGTTTCGAACCCAATTTTAGCAAGCTATACATCATTTTGAAGCTCTTGATCTATATTTCCACCCTGACAACGTCCCAAAATCACATTTCTTGATTTGAACGAGAAATCCGGCAAAAACGTTGTTTTCGAAAATCTCTTGTTTTTTTTCTAGTTTACCTCTTTTTACGCGGTTTTTTTGTGCATTCTATAGATTTTGCTTCTGTTCATAATGTAGACAACCACCCAGCCTTTATCTCTTCGATTATAATGGATTTTTTTGCGAAAAATCGTAAAAAATGCGTTTTCCTTTACCTTGTTCTGTTTCAGTGTTTTCGCATCGATTTTCTTCCAGCTTGGGCGATTGTTGCTCAGAACAATAAGCGCAATAATCCAGACAACGTCCCAGGAAACAGCAACGTCAATGCGGGGGTAAAAATTCAAAGGACGCATCAAAAATCAGAACCCCGTGTTGCGAATTGCTGGTCCTGAAGCGAAAACTTGCACTTTGAAAAGCCGCCAAATGAAAGATTTCAAGCCTCATTGCAGCGTTTTTATCCTATTTTCAGCAGTTTCTTTTGCTTTTTATACCTGTTTTATGTCATTTTCTCTCTCTGATCATCTTTAAACAACCTTCACTATTTATGACGTCAGATGTTCAAACAACCTTCACTTTTGACGCCCTGTCTCTAGACTATCGAAGGTATGAATCTCGCCGAAAAACGTTGGCCGTGAATAAAGAGTAATCAACATTTTGGTGTACGCTAAGTCAGTTGATGCGGTTATCAAGCATCTGATGCCAAGATTAATAAGCAATCGAAGTTGGAACATAACATACGTTTTGTTGCAAATGAATAGATCGACTTAGTATCCTTTCCACTTATTGGATGTAAGTTAGGACATCAGAACATATGTGTCAGCTTGCCTTGATGTTTTTTTCGACCACGGCTATAAAGACTTCAAACTTCTCAAATGCCTACAACAAGAGTAATGAAGTTACTGGACAATAAAGTATAGCCCCAAACTTTAGCAGCCACGTGATTGCTATGGGGATTGGCTATAGAATTCAAACAAGTGAAAAACCTGCAAGCTAATCCCTCTTGCTTTTCCTCTCCCCTGTCCCAAAATTTCGAACACCCCGAAGTATATGATGAAACTGATTTCGAATTTCAGAACTGCAGAAAAAAAAGACGTACGGTCTATGAAGTAAAACCCAAAATGATAGATGAGTAATTTTCAAAACAGAACGTTCCTCCCTGTTTCTCTCACTCCTCTGCTCAGGATAGGGGACTATATGTCGCCCATAGGATCCACCCCGCGGCTTTGCAAATTATCCTGAGCTTCTTCAGTGCTGTGGCAATTCTCCAGTTCACAGTGTGTTGTAAAAAAATAGTGAAACAGAGAGATTTAACAAATAGACACGAGATATGTCGAAAGACAACAACAAGAAAGGGATATAACAATGTCAACAACTAAGTCAATCTATATCATCGCTTTCTCTCATAAGGCCACTTCCAAACTCCAGCACGATCAATCGCACCTGGTTTGACCATCACTGGCTGTAGCTCGGAGTTCTTCGATTTTGCCAGATCCTGAAGCATATTTATTCCACGGGAAATTCAGGATCAAACGAAAAAAGTGTACAATCACAAGTGCAAACAAAGCAAACAGTCTTCAATACTACTTCTGAATGCGGACACGGGGGGAGGGTGTTACAAGTGAACCTGAATAGATAACCGAGCTCATATCAAAATGTTTCTTTTGGATTTTTCATCAAGTGAGTTTCCTCTATTTTCAGACTCTCGTATTTTAGAAATTTGGACTACAAATGGAATTCGAACAAAAGCAGTTTCTGCTCGCTTTTCGCAGAAACGCTCTTTACTGTAGTATGTACAAGCAGATGGTAAATATGGTGGTTTTGCAGGGCTGCACGTCAGGGAGTACGGCGATCCCTTTGCCGCGCCCGCTGCGATCGAATCTTGAAAACCACAAAACTCTCCACTGCTAGAGATTCCAGGGGAAGAAACAGGGGAGGGAAGGCAGATACAAGACTCGATGGCGTAAGTACCCTAATTTCACGCGTACAAGGCGCGGGGTGGTCCTAGCTTTCATCGACCAGCCCGAACACGGCAAAGGACTTCGCAACCAAAGGAACCCCATACCGTGCTGCGTTTTGCCTGACAAATCGTGCGGCATAAGGATCGCTTTTTAAAACACGTTGGAGCGGCTGAGCAACTCGATGAAAGCTAGACCACCCCGCGCCTTGTACGCGTGAAATTAGGGTAATAGTGCGCCAAGAATGCTGGTGCTGCGTTGGCTGAAGTGCGCTGCGGCGTCGCTTCGCGAAAATTTCGCGCTGATCGTAGCTCCGTATCGTTCCCCTTTTTTTTTGCGGTGCCGACATCTGCCGACAACATTTCCGCGTGAATGTGAAAATGTGCCCCTGCGGCCATGCACGCGCAACTCTGACATTCAGTGCGTGCGGCGCGCGCACGCTCCCCGTGCGGCGCTTTATAGTGCGCGCGGGCCGAACGATGAATGCGCGCGAGCCGCACGGTATCGAAAGCGCTCCGTCCGCAAGCTACTAGAGAATAAGTCTTCCCTAAAGCTTCTTTTTCTTCTTTCGTCGTGCCGTGAGCATTCTCAACTTCAGAGTCCAAAAAAATTCCGAATTTAAAAAATTCGAAAATTTGAATTTGAATTCATATAATTCAAAAATTCAGATTTAGCAACCATTCGGGACGCTATCGAGGGATGACCCCCGTAAAAGCAAAAAACCTCTTAGGTTCCTGCGATTACTCAAACGCCAAGAAATGATAAGTCAGTTCTACAAGTGATAGAGCAGCCTAATCACAGCGTCGTACGTACCTCACGCGGGTACCCATTACGCTTATAGCGTGTGAGCATTGGAGGCGGCGGGCGGCACGATGAGAATGTAGTGCGCGCGGGCGTATACTAACGATTTAAGGCGTCACATGTCATGTACCGCGCGCGGGCCGCACGGTACATGACATAGCCCGTAAATCTAGGCGCGCGGGCCGCACTGTTGGCCATTAACAAGCGCGCGCCGCACGCACCGAATGTCAGAGAAGTTGCCCACATTGCAAGCGTAGGAATTTGTCTACGGGCAAATGTTGCCGGCGGATGTACCGCAGGCATATTTCATTTACCATGAGCTACACAACTGCAGTCAACTACCTTTTTTAGTTGCAATTTCGCCGCCACTACTTCCAGTTCCTTAGCCCTCTTTTGCCTTTTCATCAGCTCGGAATAACGAGCGCGACGAAGCCGATCGGCTTTCTAAAGTGAACCATATAAGTATGTCCTCTGAGTAACATAAAATAGATGCACACCTTCACATCATCTTTGCTGTCTGCTCCAAGGACGTTTTTGTTGGATAAATCTTTCTTTCGTAGCCGATTGTATTTGCGAGAGATTACAGCCTCATCCGTGTCGAAGTACTCAACGGGATCGAACGACTTGGCTGCAACTGATCAACCTGACAGGAGACGAAATAAATGAATACTAGCCTTGCCCACCTTCCTCCTCATCATCTACAAAGATTGTGTGTTTGCTAGCGCCTAGACCACAGCTTGGGTCAGCGAAATGCAATTCAGCTTTGAGCTCTTCAATTTTCTGAAAAGTCGCTATAACGCTTATTCCTGTTCGAACTGCGAACTGTTAATCTGAGATCACCTTATTTTCTGCATACAGTTTATACTTCACATATTCCAGGTCTCTAATGTCATTCAGTTTCTTCTGCACTTCCGACTCTTCTTCCTGTTCTTTGGTCTTCTTCTCAAAGTGTCTCCCGTCTTCCTCAAACATTTGTTTCAAAAGAAAGTTTTAGAATATTCCTAGACAAGTCCAAACTTACTTTTACTTCACTGTTCATCATGTGATGGTGATATTCATCCTGATTTTTGTCCAAAGCATATTTATGCAATTTCTTTAGAGTGTCTCGCTTTTGCTGAATCAAAGATGATTTCGAATGGAAGGGAAGTGAGACCAGGAGCGATAATACCTGGTAATCCCTAGCTCTTGCTTTGTAATCAGATTTCTTCTCCAGCAAACCCAGGTGAGCTCGTGATTTCGGCTGTAAAAGACGAAATCTAGGTACTGTAATCATATCAAAATGCGGAGCTTTTATCGAGTTGATATCATCCCACGTCTGAGCAAAAAATGAAGGATGATAAGTACCTTATAAGCGCACTAAGCCCCCCCCCCCCCCACGCGAAAGCTGCTATTCGATCCCCTCTCTGGTACTCGAAAAATGAAGTGGTTGTAAAGCAACATAGTGTGTAAACATTGAAAAGAGTGGCAAAGTAAGCATGAAACCAACCTGAGATCGCTCTCTATGTGGCCGTTGGCTAGCTAACTTCTTACTGATACTCGAGAAGGTCGACATCTACAAAGCATTTCAAAATTAGCGAGAAAAAGTGTAGACGATGTAAAAAAGCGATAGATGTGAAATTACTAAAAAAAACACTTTGTATAGTTTGGTTTGATTCATTTACACTAATCAACAACAAACAACAAACAATAATTCTACTCTCATATCAACAGGTAGCTCTAGTGGAGTCAATCATATATCTGGACCAAATTAAATTCAAAGTCAGACTATACATGCTCTAAAATGGAAAGCATCTCTATGAATGAGGTGAGAGGGTAGAAAAAAGTATGCACATACACAATCAGTACAAAAATCTACTTCAAAATCTGTTCTGTGCTACAGGTCTCTTACACTAATAGAAATGATCTACGAATCGAAGTATGGGCTATTGTGTCAAAGAATGTCGCTGATTACGACGTGCAAAATATCCTTTGAAATACTCGTATGATCCTATCATCACGGCACAGGATGGAGCAATTTTTACAACTCGTGGCACGACTCCTACAAATTCAAATTTGATAGAACAAAGAAGAAAAATCCAAATTTCTGAAAACAACCTGCAAAGAGCGCTCTAACACCACCGCCATTTTCGATGATTTCATTAATGATTTTCTTCGTAGGCACTCGCCATACAGCGTTCTCTTGTCCCAATTTTATTTGAAGATGTGTTTTCATCTAAAAATATAAACCGCTTCAAAACAATCAAGCCGCTACAAAACAGTTAAGCTTTTATGCAACTCCATATAATTTCATAAAAATAAAAAGGACAAATCGTGACATTTAGTTCGTGCCTTACCACATCAAACGGAGTCGTTATGATGGCCGCTATCGTTCCTGAAGTAGCTCCACAAGCAAATGCGGTTGCAAACGTCGTTTGTTCCATATTTCTCCATGCTAGCAGATTTCGTTTGAAATATTGGTAGAACGCCCAATAAATAGCTGTAAATGTTGACGACATTGAAATGGAAGATGAATAGCTACACTCACCTGAAAATGGGATGTCCCTCAAAAGCGTGGGCATCCAACCTAGGTAAAAGCCTCGTATGCCATTCTTTGCTACTGTCACTCTCAAAGCTCGTCCGATATCTGTCAAATCGAAAGATTGACAGAGCCATCAAAAATCACAAGTTTTGACGCACCTCGATAAGTTAGCTGTTCGCTTTGCATCTTTGTTCGAATCATTTCCAGCGGACTAACAATGGTGGCTGCTGTCGTGCGCGCTGTTGCACCAGCAACCGTAGCTGCTGACCACTCGGGTGGACACCACAATTCTGGTGTCAACTTGCGTCGACGGTATAGCCTGCATGCAAAAAAAAGTGAAAAAGAAGGAATGAATGCAAACTCAGACGCAACACACCTCTGCATGAATTTAGAATATAAAGTGTCATATAAAGAGTAATAGAAGACGGTAGCAGGTATAGCCATGACTCTAGAAAAAGCAAAACATCAACATTTTGGAATAAGTCAACTGCAAAGCATTTGAAGAACACTTTAACTCACAGCGTAGGTGATAAGCCACTCCAAAGTGACTTTATGCCTTCCTCCCGTGTTATTTTTACAAATGCATCCTTAACTACATCTTATTAATGATTATCAAGAATAGTAAAAGTAGTTTGATTCAACTCACAATTGTCCCAGAGAAATTACCAGGCCGTTGGTACCACACGCATGGCTGACGATGCTCACATGCAGTGCACACATGTTCCATCAAGCCGTTATAAAAATAGAAGCACTGTCCTTTTGGAAAGGGATGGTGCTGCTGTTGTAGCCTAATTTTCACTACATCCATTGGTGTCACTAAAGAATTTGATTAAGAGAAAAAATCACCTCATCCAAGTTTAAAACTGCAAAACATTTTCAGAAAAAATATGCTTACAAAGTACAATTGTTACACCGGTCGCTGTAAAAACATGGGGAGTCTCTCCTTCGCAGAATGAAAAAACACCATTTAAGACAAAAATATGGAAAGCAGTTGGTAAAATCTGGCAGTTTCTCAAATATCGTCACTGATTGACCAAACAAAATAAAAGAATTTGAAAAAGTAGGTGCACAAAAAGAGCATGGTCCTAAAGAATCGCCACCGCTGAACAGATAGAATTTCTAAGAATGAGAGGGGAAATTTTCAAAGACAAAAATGGAAAGCATTATGCTTAAACCTAAATTAAGTTTTTGAATAATACTTACTCAGCAATGAAGTTACTACAGCACCCGTAGCAGAGGAAACAATTTGTTGGAATATGGAAACAGATGGTCCGGGCATGTCGCAGCATTCTTTCTCAGTACCTGAAATATAGGTAAACAGCAAGGAAAACATGTAATGAAAAGCCGTGTAAAAAACAAATTTGAGAGGAAAATGAATATGGAAACAGATATGGCCGACAGGCTCCGCCTCACCGTAAACCGCCGGTCCTCGAAAATGCGCTTCAACAACGAGGAGAAGACCGGCAGTCTGCACAGGGAGAACCTATCGACAGCCGTCGTATATACTCCGAAAATTTAACTAGAGTAAAGGCGTACGATATAGCAGCAAAAAACTAATCCACAGATTCTCTATGAAATAATAAAGTAACAAAGAAAGTGGGTTTACCTTTGCCACCGATCATCGCCGACTGGATTGTTGAAGGAGATGAAGAGCTCGGTATCGATTCTTCAGACATGGCGACCTACTAAAAACAGTATTGGTCATCCAAAGAATGCACATTATGTATATAAAACTAACGGAAGATGAGAATGAAGCGAAAGTTTCAACCAAGCATCAGCGTGCACTACGCTCACTACTGGCCTGGAAATCCTGTTCACTGCCTGTACCTAATAAACAACTGCGATTAGCACTACGCCACAGCAATAACGTCTGACGTCACTAACGATCATGAAACAACACAGGTGACCAAAAAGAATGAAAAAAAGAAGCGCATCCAGTGTGCTTCATAGAAGTATGTGTGGAAACTTTCAAATACTTGTCGTTTCGACGTTAGTAATGAACTGCTATCTAAACAGCAACCATATTTATCGAAGACCAAAAGCTCGCATAGGATGAGAAAAAAGGAACAACAAATTGCTCGAGCAAAGGGTATAACAGAGTGTGTTACCTAAGCAAAGGCCAACAACATAACAAGATAGATTCAACCAATAAGATGCATCCGAAAACAATCCTAAGTGGGCAACCATAACAAATCTCAAACAGACCGAAACAGGAAGGAGAATAAATAATAATTGTCGAAACGTCTCTGGGAGTAAGAAACAAGCAAATTTGTAATTATATTACTGCGCTACATAAACGATAGTATCACCGATGGGATATGACTTTCCGTTGTCACTAACCAAAACTTCTTTCTTTTCCGTGTCAACAGAGAAAATTGCTGGAAAGAGCAAAGTAAATAGCGATCAAAGCTCCGTTCGATTACTTTCAGCTGCTAAGTAAATAACATACCACTTTCTTCTAGCTTCTCATTTATTGCAAGAGGATCAAGACAGCTTATCATTTTCCTATTGCCTCCAACTGGATCCTTATATCGCCATAAGGAAACATTGAATCGAGCTAAAATAGCAAAAGTTTATGGTGAGTAACAAGGTGAACCCATGAAATCAAGTGAGATGTGGATTAGAAAACAACTAATCCTAGAACAACTGCTGCTAGTTTTTAAGGAGCAGAAAGAGAAATGACAAATATCTTGAAAAAATTGTAGAAAAAAATGAACGTAACAAAAAAAATGAAGAAAGATGGATTATAAGCAATGGTAAGTAAGAAAAGGAGAAAAAGTAATTAACGCATGAACTAAGGGGATCAACTCACGTTTGATGGACTTATTCAGCCTCCGCAGCTTCCGAGCTACTATTGCCACCGAATCTCCATCCATAACTTGCACATTCACATCGAACAGCGCATTTGCCACATGTATATTTCTGGCAATTATGTTGACACCCTCCTGCAATCAAAAGTCAATCAGTCGTTCATAAACAACCTCAGCATCGACTCACCCTTGGCGGGTAAAAGTGCATCAACGGGGCACCGGGAACAACTGATTCTGATATACTCGGTTCAACATCAGCTTCGTCAGTGTATTTGATCGTAAATCGATCGAGTTCTAAGGAGTTCTCAATATAATCGCGATTCTCAAGCAGAACAGCAGCCTAAAAGTGCATGTTACAATAAGTGAGACATATTCGGGAAAAAGCAGAAACAAGATAGCGCGGCTGCATTTAAAAGGTCATGTGGGAGTTAAATGATAAGATACGAGCGACGTAACTTTCTCCATACTACGTAAGCCTTGCAGTCCTTTGCAGCCAAAAAATCAGGGACAAAAAGCATTCATCTGAAAAGTGACTGCAGATCGTGTTTATTTGGATTTTCTGGAAAGTAGCATCAATTTTGCAACCATGCGCCATGCATGTGTTCTGTGATGTTGACTAATTCCAAAGCTCAGTTACGTTTGATGCGATATCGCAAATGGCCAGCAAAACAGAAAAAAGTGTTCAAAGGGAATTGCAACAAAAAATAAGAGTTGAAATAAATATTCCAAATCAAAGCATATATCATACATAAAGTTTTTTTACGGCAGCCCCAAATCAAATTACGCGCATGATGGCCTTCCCTACCTGATCAAATGCACATGCAGTTGCCAGTGCGGCCATCCCTTTTTGCTCATACTGTTCCTTTACCATCTGCACAAACGGCATCGCTTTCTTGAGGAACTTCTTAACGGCTTCTTCTTTCGCGATCACTTGAGAGATGGTTTTATTATCCGGCAGTGCGCCATTGTTCTCGTTAGCGCTCTTCTCTAGGATTTGCAGGATGGTTTTCTGCCACGTTGGGAACTCCTTAGCCACATAAATCACAGCTTCTGATGGAGGCTCTGTGAACGCATTCTTCTTTTTTGAACTCATGGAATTTTTCACTCTTGCTCGGAAGTCTACCATAACATCACGCATGAAGTCTGCAGCCTAAAAGTTTGCTTGACATAGAAAGATGACAACAAACAAACGGAAGCCTGAAAATCTCACTTTGACCAAGGACTCGTCTACCGGCTGTGTTTCTGGCCATTTTGCACACACTATAAGCTCATTCTGAAAATGTTCTACAGTAGATGTGTTCGTAAGAAAATCCAAAACAAAAGGCTATTACCTTCCCAAGAATCTGCCAGATCTGCTCTCCGATATGCGGGCATATGGGAGAAAGAATGAGAGATTGTGTTTCGATAAATCGAAAAACTAGCGATTCATTCATAGCAGCGTCTTGACCACCACAAAGTTCTCGATACATGTCACGAAGGGCCTACAAAACAAAAATCAAAGCGACAAAGATGAGATATATATGAAAATACTTGGAAGTCAAACCATCGCAAGATTATATGAATAAGATAACGCAGTGAAAAGAAAATAATACTCACCTGATACTCGAAGAATGCATATTTCAGAGCTTCCTTGAATAGAGTTTGTTCATAGTTTGCCGCACAAATCTGTATGTTCTTGTCCATCTCGGTTGCAAATACACGATCAGCAAATGTGGTTGGTTCACCCTTGCGCAAGCCACCCTCCTTCCTCAAAGCTACCTGAAAATTAGTGGTGAAAGAGTCATCTAAATATATTCATCTTCTGAACTTCCCTACCATGTCTTTAACCCAATCGATCATATTATACAGGCGTAGAACAGCTGCGTCAGCCATGCTGAACACAAAGTTCGCATCCTCAACAGCATCTCCAGCATCCTACAGGACCAATATTAATCACCCAATGATAAGCTAAAAAAGTTACACTTACCGCAAGGGAAAGTCGCATTCCATCAGCAGAAAATGTTTCAATACCTTCTATCAAAGTCATGAAGTTGCCAGTATTTTTCGACATCTGGAAGTATGAAACATCAATCACGCAAGAGATGAATTACCACGATAGAGTACTTTATTTTTACTGGGAATCATTCCTAGTAATCACTTTGTTATTAACCATCTGTTGCCAATTGGTCAAGAGTGCCACGATATCTTAATCTTTCGAGCTTATTCCACAAAAAAAGCACTGATATTTCGGAGAAATTCGAGTGCTTAGAGCTGGTGACATGGAAGATAATTTACAAAATTAAGGGAAAAGTATAAACAAGTCAGTGTTGAAAACACTCAAAATCCATCAAATTAAAAACATTACAAAAATTATGAAACATCATATACCACTGACCTTTTCGTTATTCAGAAGTAGATGCCCATTCGCTCTAATACTTTTCGGCCACATTTCCGGCTGATCTGGCCATATAGCAACGTGGTTATACAAGAGATACGTAAGATGATTCTGGACTAGATCTTTGCCGGATACTCGCATGTCTATTGGATACCTGAACATTTGCTTACATGCTTCACAGATAAGTTTAAGCAGGTTAACAGCAATTCGTGGGAACATCATATGAATTTCAAAATTAAGAAAACGCACCAGTACAAAAATTCTTTCCTAAGTGCCTTGAGAGTATCTTCTGGCACTGGCATCTTGGCTGCATCATAGGGCGCTCCGAGGAAGATATAATCCCACACTGGTTCAGTCATCTGCTCAGCTCTGAAAAAAAAAATCATGACAGATGGCCACAATCGATATAGATCACAAAAATCATGACGTGATTACAAGAACTGATGATGATAAATGAACTGACTTGATGCCTGCCGGTCCAACAACACTTCCATCCAGTGAGCCTTGTTGAAGCAAATGAGCGACTGTATAGTAAGCATTGTAGATGGTAGAATCAGAAAGCGATTCTATCAGGTACTGTGGATCCCACGGCAGTTTCGTTCCTGTGCAGCAGATTAATCCGAGAGCAAACAAAGTGACGAAAACCTTAACTCACCAAGCCCATAGCTTCTAGAGCAAGCATGTTCGTGTAGCCAGTCAATGGTCGCTTCGAAATTACGGCGGACCTAATCGATATCATATTTTAAAAATGCAAAAAATAGCCTTGCTAGAATGCCGTGGTCACCTGGCAAGCAAAAACAATGCAATGGTATAAAAGCTATGGATGCAACAAAACAAAATATGATGCAAACCTCATCACTGTAAGTGTTCAGCTGTGCTAATGCCTTCTTTGTCTGAGCTTTCCATTCTGGATCACCATAATTGAGGTACCTGAAGCAAAGTTTCTGAACGTGCATTTCTCAAAAAATGTGGAACAAAGGAGCAAAAGAATAAAAAAGAATGGAACAAGCCGTATGAACATACCACTGGTCGCATAGCGCCACAACACACTCATCACCACTGCGACTTATGATCTTCTTTTCGGGTTCAACATATCTAAAAACAAAATACTATGAAAAGACTGAAGCAATTAAAATTATTCGATAAAAGAAGTTCGGTAAACAAAAGAGTATAGAGAGGTTAAGTTGCAAGCAACAATCAACTAGTCAGTGGTTTAATATAAGTTCTTACCATCACTACATAGCAACGACTGCGCTTACTTTTTGGCAAGTCCTTCGGCAATCAAATCTGTTTGAATGATTTTCTTCACATCCGCAGTCTTCTGTCCAGCATACTTTCCAATGATCATGACCTGGATATGGAATTTTAGCAGACATACATGAACGCAAGCACGGATTCGCTTACCCCATCATAGAATCCCTTCAGGTACACTTCCTTCTTCGCTTCTTCCAACTTATCTTTCTCGTTTTGAGACTCGATCTTCAGTTTCCTGCACATTTCTACTGCAGCCAAATTACCCAGCCCTTCTATCTCAATGATGGGCACCTGCAAAGAACATGATTGATGTTCTTACGTTGCTTTATGTAAGAACGCACAGGGTCGAATGGCAAGACCATTTCGTCGGTAATTCCATATTTCTCCCTTAACGGCTTTTTCTTCTTCAGATCTGTTAGAGCTGCATAATCGTCAGGTGAGTCAGAGGGCACAGACGTTACGACGCCAGTTCCTGAAAGATCAGCATATAGAAATATTATTTCACAAAATACAAAAAGAGAACTCCACACGTTAAAAATTGTAAAAAACAGCGTGCTCACTGCTAGCATAGAATCATCTACTAACCCTTATCATCCTTGATCGTCAGCATAGGAAGAGCATAAACTTTCGGATATGTTGCTAGAGGAGCAGACAGAGCAGCACCGAGAATCTTACTGCCAGGGAACTACAAATGCAAATTAATGCATGTCTACTTTTTGAAAAACATCTGCAACTTTACCTTCTCTAATCCATCCACGTAATTCACAACACCATTTTCGGCAGTAAGACCTTGATAGCACATATTTCTCGCAGCTCTGCAAAAAAGAAGACATCTCGACACAGGTATATCAAAAAACATTAACAAACCTTGAAGTTGCTATGAATACCATGTCTTCTTTCTCTCCAGCATAGAATGCAGAATACTGAATATCCGGGTGGATGTAGCAGTTTGTTTGTCCATACATGGTTTCAGGTCGTAATGTGGCAGCGACAAGGTAGATGGGCTTAGTAACGTTGGCAAGAATTGCAGGCTTTGGATCGAGTACCTGTAAAGAAAGGCCATGCCTGGAAAGTACCTTTAGCTATAGCAATGGTTCCCGAGAGTAGAGCAATAAATTTTGGCAAAAGTGATAGATTTCATACATTTGGAAAATTAGATACCTGCAGCTGAATTAAAGTGTATTCCTGAGGTCCAACACCTTCACCACTGGACCGATCATGATCCATACAAGGTTGCCCGTCCCTTGGTGAGTAGATTGTGTACCTGAAAATGAATGTAGAAAATCAGCAAAGCTAAGTAATGCTGTAGAAAGACGCCGTTCAAAAACGGAACTTCGGAAAAAGTGGTAAAGTACCTTTTACCAAAGTCAATCTTTTTAGCCTCATGTAATTTGCCAAATTGCCATCGTACAAACGAATCATAATATGGATTCGCATCCGTGGTGATGAATGAGCGTCGCCAATCCACCTGAACTACAATGTAGAGTCAATATGCAAAATCAAGATTTCTTATTGTTATGATAGGTTGGCAAAAGAAAGCAAAGATTGGATGAAAAAAGAATGGTGAATGCCTCACCTTCAATCCCATTTTCTTCAGATCAGACGTACAATGTGGTGGGAAGTATTCCAGCCAATGATCAGTATCAGCGAACTTCTTTATCTCTTCATCATTTAGTCCCAAAGATTGCATGATTTGCCATTGGTACTTGGATGATCCAGTCTTGGCCACTAGCTTACTCTAGAAAAAAATGCAAAAATTTGAAATCTTAAAGGCAGCGTCCAGACAAATCTGGGCCTATGGGGATCTCACTTGAAGGGTAATCTTAGAGCCCTAACTAAACACTGCCCAACGGCAGCTCAAATGGTGAGCTCCCAGTTGAGATACTCGCCTCCAAACTGGACCCCGGGATCGTATTAGAATGGATTCATGGCGCGACACATCAGTTTCATGCGGGACCACGCCTGTTGCGCCATGAATCCATGCGAATACGATCCCGGGGTCCAGTTTGGAGACGAATATCTCAACTATGAGTTCACCATTTGAGCTGCCGCTTAAGCGGTTCTTAGTTAGGGCCCCAAAGTTACTTTCCACAAAAACCCCGTATGTTCACATTTGCCTAGAAGCTGCCTTTGATAAGGAATTCAACTCCGCAAAAAATAGTATAGCATCATTGCAAGAAATGCTGAAGCATAGTAAATGGTCGTACAAATCTTTTAGAAAAAGCCTCAGCGATCTTTTCTTCCTGGAATTGATGGAAGCCCACTTTTGGGAAAGGTAGAGTTATGATCAGGAGAAGGAAAAGAAAGCTTGGTAAACCATGAAATGCACCTACCTTCTTCCCTTTACTCTTATCCTTCGTGATCTCATCGAGACTAGACACTTCCTCTTTGGGCGCTTCTTCTTCATAAGTCGGGAATCTTCAAAATAAAGTATAGCACAAAAGAGAATTAGATAAGATATGGAGAAACAACCAGAGAAGGACTTAAAAAGTCCTGATAACGTTTCAACCTTCAAAAACATACTTCGGTGGACAACCAAAGTCCTCCATCTCTCGCTTCAGCTTATCAGCGCAAGCCTTGATGGGCATGCCAGTGCAATGAAAACCGAAAGGAAACAGACATCTCTTCCCAGCCAAGCGTTGATACCCAACAGCAAACTGATACCGAGTCACTTATGTTCATGAATGCGAAGAAAGCTAACGATCAGACTCTACCTCGCATTTTGATATAGTGAACGTGTGTCCGAGATGAAGACGTCCGTTCATATAAGGATACGGGAAGGTAACCAGATATTTCTGGGCTCCACTAAAATAATGATATTCAAAAAAGCTTATTTTAATTCATAGTTACAGACTTTTTCAGAAAATGGCATGTATAATTTATACTTGCCTAGCGCTTAAGAATCTCTGTTGAAAAAAGTAATGAAAGTAGTTAAGAAACTCACTCATCAACAGCATCCGCTTCAAAAACTTTGTTTTCTTCCCAAAGTTTTTGTATCTCTGCTTCCTTTTCGAGTAGCTGAGCCACCTTCTTGCGCTCTTTTCCAGCGCCGGCCATGTTAAGCCTTTTTTACCTGCAAAGACAAACTTTCCAAGACGAAATGTGTCTAAAAGTGAATGTATAGTAGTCAGAAGGAAAACGGAATGAATATTGAGGCAATCATGTACGCAAATTTTCGTGCGCCCTCACGTAATATTGCAGAAGATGCAAGTGCATTGCAGTTTGCCGCGAAACACATGGATTGGAAGACCTTCTAATAGGGTGAAGCCTGATTTAGACTTCTGAGTGTGCAATTTTCAGCTCTCACAGTACCGGCAGTAGTGAAAAGAAGAATGAGAAAACAGTGATAACCGGGCTTTTTCTCTGCACATGAAGTAATGAGTTCAATCCAGCTACAGTCGACTCGATTTTCCCCTCAGTGTGCTTGCGGTGCCAGGAAAATGCAGTAAAATTTGTGCGTGAACAAGTAGCCGCGCCAGTAATGCAAGCATTTTGCGCGCGCAAATGATTGGCGTCAGGCGTACAGTCTGTGTCTACGATGTGCTCTTTCCAATCAACAGAAGGCTGTGCAATGCCCAAGGGCTGTGGATGCGTAGTTGAAAAGGGAGCACCGCACAATCACCACATTTTCCCTGCACAGCGAGAACACTACTATACTGAGCGGGAAACGTATGTACATACTCGACTGTAGTCCTACTTCATCGGGTCAGTACTGAAGGGTCTGCGTGTCAGTATTGCTAGCCGTGGGAAGCGGGGCGACGTTTTTTAGATGGGAGTGATAAAAAAAATTCTTTCAAAGGCATGGCTGTAGCCATGAGCTAAACAATTTTGCAAATCTTGTAAATCTTCAAAACTCTTTTGATCTTTACTGATTGATCCATAAGTCTTGCAAAGAAGATACGACGATTGTTTCAAAGTGTTCGAAAAAACTTGCTGATATAGATAGTAAAAAACTCGTAATTCATAGCTATTCGTGAATATCTACAATCAGTGTCAACCACGTTCTCCCCTTTCTGTAGCAACTACGCATCCGCAGCGCATGGGCATTGCGTAGCGTTCCGCGCGATGCTTACATTTTGTAAAGGCCCTGTATGAGAAGGCGCAGAAGCAGTATTGGTTGAGCGGGTGCGAAGGCGACGCGCGTGTCCTCACTGTTGTAAATCCTGCGCCTTATGCGCTCTGCGGCTAATAAAGCCGTGTTTGCGCTCAAAGATAATTGCGCCTGTCATGCAGTAGCCTATACGCTCAGAGGCGCGACCGCGTACGTGGCACAGGAGAGATAAATTCAAAAGAATTCGTTGAACTGAAGGAAGTTACTATTTTCATGAATCCTGGTGCCAGAATTATGCTCAAAGGGTTGAATGGACAAAGTTATGCATTGTTTGTAAAATCTGCTCAAATTGTGCAGGAGATCTCATAGGTACATCCGCAACGCACAATAAAGACCTCGAACATTTTTTCTAAGATAGAAATTCAGTTTTCTAGCAAGATGGAGAGTAGGTAGCTCCCGAACATGCGTTGCATAGTGCGGGGATACCATGAGGGCATACCGGAAACAGACTATAGGCGTCGGTGCACGGCCTCCACATATCCATCGTTGACTCCCACATGCTGTTTATTTGTGGGGAGTTTTTAATTTAAAAAATGCAATATTTTTGGGTTGGCAAGAACCGCATCAATTGTCTATCATGAATCTTATTGTTATAGTTGGTGTTCATAAAAATACATAGATTTTTATTCTGACTTATCATATATGCGGTGTCAGTTCTTCGCGCATGTTTATTGAAAGAATTTGTATAATAGCATGCTTCTGTGGGAAACTTGTGACGCCACAATAACTGCAGCAAAATCCCAAGCACATCAAAGAAATCAATAAAATTTGATTTTTGTGAAAATCGGAATGAAAAACAGCACAACTATCAAGTACATTCAATGCATATCCTACAAGCGATTTGCAAAAGAGTTTGCTCTGTAAAAAAAATTTTCCGCAAATTTTGTACTTACAGATAAACTGTCTCAATCACACCTGTTAATTTAATCGCAAGTTATTAATAAAATCACAGTAAACTCCATATGGAAAAAACTCGATTTTGTGAACAACTACGTTAAAAAATGTTTACTTTATATGGAAAAAACTTGCTTTTACGAACAATTACGGCCAAGAATGTTTACACTTATTTGATAATTCTTCTGAATTTATGCATCAGATCTAACTATAATAGTCTAAAGACTAAAACATACAACGGGGATAATGAAGACAGTTCACGTGTGGCTCTAAGCCAATCAAAATCTATTCTGCTCTGATACAAACGAAATTTACAATATGGAATTATCGAAATGGTCAGTTGTTATACATACACGATGCAAGCGAATTAGGCATGGAAACACTTGAGTTTAGAAGGCCACAGAGATTTCGGGAATGTAGATAATCTATGGGAAGAATACTCGGTCTTCTTCTTCGTCATCGTATGCGTCACCAATAAATCCGCCCTTCTTGACGATGTGCAGTCTGTGTGGACCCATCCGCCAATTGTGCTTTGCACCGAACTGTAAGTAAAATAATTTGTAAAGAGAAGGTACTTGTCCACAGAATGTGTCTATGCTGAAGGCAGAGTCATTTAAAAAATCGTTTGATTTTCGCCCAGTACCGCACTCTTTCCCAGCGCACCAATCCGCGTGCTACGGTACTGGGCGAGAGGTCAGAGCTGAAAACTTTGGCTACAAAAATCGATTCAGTTTCTCTCTTCCACCTGAACAAAACCTTGCGTTGAATATTATGAAAAATAAGCACGAAGCTTGGCTACTCAAACATGCTGAAAGTTTCCTCCATTTGAAAGCGCAATTCTTGAAATTTATTTTTTGCCAGACTGTTTTGTAGTACTAGTCACAGTGCAAACATCAAAGCGAAATCAGAAATTCGCCAGAGGGGGGGGGGCGTAGGCTAGATGCTGCCTTATATAAGATTTTTAGTAGGTTAGAAAGATCAATTAGTTTAAGATTTTTTCTTAGCCGTATAAGGTTTTCAAGCATGTTTGGTCTTCTGTTTGAGTCAAAATGCTATTCTTAAGGGCTCAAACCCCTTTTTGAAGATCCTACCGTAATCCCACAGTAACAAAGAAAGGAGATTCCCTCCCGACCGTAAATCTAGGTTGAAGCTAGCCTTACAATTTCTAAGATTTCCAAGAGTTTACGACCTCGTACTTGAAAGAGGGGCAATCAAAAGGTTCACTCGAATTCAAAAAATTTCCTAAGTACACCAGAAAATGAACTTATCACATATGTTTAACTAGAGGCCACAGAAGAATATGGCAGCCTCTAAACGGGAAGGGAAAAGTGGAGAAAGGATAGAGTGTTCAATGCCTATTTTGCAACTTATTTTTGCTACTCGATCAAAATTACAGCAAACTTGTTAACCTGGCCATTACATGAAAGTATTATAATTGTATAGAGCTCACTTTAGCTAAATGTAGACATCAGAGTCATTCCGTTAGACAACTAGCACTGTAATGAGTATCTGTATTTTTTTTTAGTAGAATCTGTAGAGGAGAGAGACCTGAGAATTTCTCCACATAGTAAGTATTTGAAAAATTTCGCCCCTAGGGCAAGGCAAAAGAAACAATTTTGTATCTGCCGCTCAAGAAAAGGCACTAATGTATTTTTTCATAAAAAACATTGGTAAAGCCACATTTCTTGTAAACGTCAAAAAAACCCACTTTTTCAAACTGTGTGAAGTCGTCGTATTTGCTAATGCAGAAGAAGTTAATGATGAAGAATGAGATTAGAAATAGTGTGACGCCAAAAATTGCTGCTACAACAACGGGTCCAAAGTAGTCGATAACTTCGAAATCCTGTTTTGCCATCTGAAAGACAGAGAAATCATATAATCCGTACATTTCGTTCCAAAATAAGGAAAAACGATGTTTATTCAGGAATAAATTCCCATTCAGACGAAGTGTTTACCCTCAGTAATCATTTTTATTGAGTTGTTTTTCTCTCTACATGCATTGGAATGCCAAAAATTGCCTTTGCTATGAATTGTAGAGTATTTGGTTTGAAAGACGCACGAAAATTGCGATTACTCGAACGATCAGCGACGGGATTGTGTAAAGTATTATAGCGTACAAGTGCAACGTTGAAAGGATGGAATAAGAAGTCAAAGAAGGCAGGAATTCGGAAAAATCGATACAAATAAAATACATGGTACAACTTGAGAGAAGTGTTTCACGCTCTGATGTGATTGCATAGTTATTTGGAGGTCATATTTTTGGGGTTTTTTAACACATCCTCTAGCTTTGACTACCTTAATCGATATTTTTTACACATAAAAAATTTTCTGAACAAGCCTGTGCGGTATTGCTATAATCTAGAAAAAACAATGGCACATGGGTATCATCTACTCTATGACTAGGAGACGCGAAACCGCATTGCGAACATTGCCTTAACAAGTCTAAATTTGTTCCTCCCCATTTCCCAAGAGTGAATAAATCCTGGGCGAGATATATATATAACAAGTTTAAACCTGTCAAATACACGATTAGGCTTGTTTAGATAATGAGTGCAATGCGGTCCCGCGTCTCATGTTCATAGAATGAATGATACAAACTAAGTCTATGCATAAAAGTATAAGCATTGGGAGAATTTTTGCACTCGAAAAAATTCGTTTTGACAGAATCCAAATCAAATAGCTTCAAGAAAGGTTGTCGAGCAAGCTTACCTAATAATTTATTGAAAAAAAGACGCGTAGGGTAGGAAAAATTCCTCTCTTCCGGAAAAACGTTTATAACATGCTTATTGACTCCTACCATAGTCATACTGTATTCCAAATACTGTAGGTGCTTTTATCAACACAAAAAAACAATTCTCATTTATAAGAGCCAAAAACGCTGTCTCCGTAGCGCCTATCACGGGGTTGTACTAATCAAAAGTGCATAAATCTTGGTACTATGTACTAGCATTAATTATTCAAAGGCATTAACGCGAGATTGAGTGATGACATTTTTGCTCTCGATAAATGGCAGAAACAAAGATTGCAAGGCATTTATTTTACTTAGCAGGAAAAAAAGGGGATGGAAAAGTTCTAGCATATCAAGTTTTTAAAGGCAAATAATGCAGCTACTGTCGCAATTTTGAACAAAAATGAGAACCAATCTACGTGGTGAATTTATGACAATCTGAGCAGATATAGACTATCAGTAATCTAATATGTACTCACTATCCCCCATAAATAATTTTAATAAAAGTTAAAACATTCCGACTATTTTTCCGCGATGAATACGTCCAAACGGGAAAGCTGTCGTTACTCGTTTTTTTCCTCAAAAGTTACGAGGTCTGTTGTAATGGCCTTTTAGGAGTTTTTTGTTAGAACATCTCAAACCTTCATATCAAGGAACGAAAAAGTACAATGCGAACCCATTTTTTGTCTGTCAAAATCATTTTGAGTCATAACATCAATTTGTCACCCTTTTTTTCCTTCAAAAAATCTACCATTCCCTTCTGAAGCTGTAGACATCTCAATTTTTCTTCTTCCCATATATTCACGAATTTTCTGGAGCATAGAACTCCCCGGAAAAGATTTTTTTATAAGGTAATTTGAATTTTTAAAAATTTTCAAAAATAATTTTAATTATTTACAAGTATAAACAAGTCATTTGCACATTTTTATAACCCATATAAGTAACTTTCAAAAATTTCGCGACCCATTTTCGGGGGGGGGGGGGGGGAAGGCGCTTTCGAAAGGCAATTCACAGATGTTCGAAGTTGCCGAAAATAATTGACAAAAATAAATAATGGTTAATAAATAAATAATGATTTCAAAACATTCCAAAAGTAATTTTTCTACATATGAAAAGTACACGTTGAAAATTTACAACTTCCCACCTAATTTGCAACCGAAGAAGAATTTTTGAAGATGGAGTTTTGAAGAAGTTATGAAGATTTTTGATGTGCTATAAAAATGCGGTGGTTTTTGTCAATCTCTTAATTTCTAATTGGGCGTACACAATTAGAAACAATCGCGCGTCGCCCGATTGGGCGCTCCTTTGTAACAGTAAAACAGCGTCCGATCGAATTGGGGATTGATGATTACCACCCATATAACTGATTGATACTTACGAAAAATTCAAGGAAATTTTTCTACAATGGCTGGGCAGAAAAACCAAAATAATTCGAAAAAAAAGAATGAAATTTGCGAATTAAAGACAACTCAACCGTATACAACCTATCAAATGCTGCAGAGAGATAGACTTGGAAAGCAGTAATACATTAAATGAGAAAGCCGCGCACGCTCAACGAAGTTCACGACCCTGATGGCCTTGTCGATTCTCAAAACGACGAAGGGTCGATATGGAAAACAGGTTGTGGAGCGCCTGATCGCGCAGCCGCCACCGGTGCGAGAGAGAACTGAAGCGTAAGAAGTGATGGAGCCCGAAGAATTCAAGTGACAGGTTCAACTAGCTATTTTATAAAAAAAAGCATAAATTTATGAACCAGCCCCATTTGAACGCTAACGCAAAAAGGCATGCTTCTACGACATAGGACATGTTTTTCATAGGTATCAGATGCCAAATTAAGTAAAACGCGTATGTTTTTGATCTGTGTTTACTCGAATCGACATATGGTGTGCATTTACACACGCTCAATTAGATTGTGTTCAAGCATCAACGAATCCAATTGGTCAAAAATACGAAGCATCATTTGAGCTGAGTAATTTCTGTCTAGCGATATTGCATAGCCAGCATTCCACTTAAAACAGCAAGAAAAGTATTCTACAATTTTGACCAAGTTTCAGAGAGCATGAATAGCTTGAAGAAGTGGTGATTCCATCTCCTATCAACTAAGGAACGGAGCAAAACTATTCCAACATCCTCATGTAAGTGGCCACAATCACATGCATCAGGAAAGGACAATTAGGTGACTATAAACACTTCTATTTCGAATATGTAAGTCGTCAACTCACAAATTTTCTCATGCTTTCTGCTTCTTCGAGAATGTTTCGCTTTTTAGGAGTGCTACATATGCCTCGAATCCAGCAAGTTCGATGGTTCGAGAGCCTCAGTGATAGGAGATATAAATTAACAAAAAATTCTAAATTTCAAAACAATTTTTCAAAGCGATTTGAAGGCTAAATATTTAAAATTGGGATCTGAGATGATCTAGAAAGAGTTAGAGGGATTTTCTTCTAATTTTTAGGAAACTGAATATTGGTTGTTCAAAAATAACAATTTTTATTCATAACCTTCTATATAGTGGTGTACATTCCTGCGTGTATTGCATAAAAATTCTGATGACTTCATATTACAAGAATTACGCGCCGCGAATCGAATGGATGAAGTACAAAGATGAATGTGGTTTTATTATCACAACATGATGTTCTCGCAATCGCCTTCAAAACGCAGTTTGACATTACATCTATTGTTGTGCGGCTTCCACTGAGTTCTCTAAATCCAAGCGCAACCATGACTTGGCCATCATTCGAAAGTATGCATGAGTAAGCTACGAGTAGAGCAACGAACAAAGTTTAAGATTTATACAAGATAAAAGTCTGCAGGTGGGATGCAATCCTGATATTTTGATCTACAAAAAAAGATTTTTTCATGAATAAGTGAAGGACTTCTGATGCCGGAAGATGGATGGGCTTTGATATCTTTCTTGCATTTGTGTGCTACAAACAATAGTAACCGTATTAAATTCTTTTTTTGTTTCTATTTCCTCTGCATATCATTAGCAATAAATAAACTGTCACATTTATTGCAACAAAGGATATTCTTGGAATCAAATGACTAGAAACATTTCGATGAACAAGGGAGGACGCAAGAGATGTCCATACGGGTTTTAATTATGGCAATTTCAAGCGTATGACCTAATTAAATGGGAAATGAACAACTTCGGGCTTCGAAAGAAAAGTAGGCGTTTTTTAGTTCATGCTGCATCGAGAAAATAATAATGACTGAGATAGAGATTAGGAGTGATGATAGAAAATAAACAAGAAAAAGAATAGATACTTTAGATTTGTTCAAAAGAGATTCCAACAGACTCAACATGGAAGAAACTTCAAAATTACTTCAAACTTTTGGTACACCGATGACGTGCCAACATTAATAAAAATAGATTAAACCAAAAGTTCTTTCGCACTAAATTCAAAAATTCATAACTTCTATTTTTTCCAACCGATTTATCTGCTTTTATTTTTGTATGAAAGAGTAAATCATGCTCTTTACAATGACATCCTTAAATGCTTACTAATGGTCACCTGTTGCATAGATAGGAGCGATAGAAGAAAATTGGTCAGAATTTGAATTTTCTGTGTACGGTCATAAAATTTGAAACCTGCGCTAAAAATCGGAGCAGTCACTATTATAGGTTCCATCACCGGCTCTTTCTAACTATGCAAAGTTTGCGCTGATTAAGCATCTCTATGAAAAGTTATGATTTCCTGAAAAATGCCAGAATAAATCAAATTCACCTTTTTGTATTGCTTGCTCGAAAATCATAACTTTCATAGAGACGCTCAATCGGCGTAAACTTTGCACTATTGGAAAGAGCTTGTGAAAGAACCTACAATACTGACTGCTCCGATTTTTCTTGCAAACTTTCGATTTTTTATGACACTACACAGAAAATTCGAATTTTGACCAATTTTTATCGCGCCTATCTATGCAACAGATGATCACTATAAGCATTTAAGATGTCATTATAAAGAGCATGACTTATTCTTTCATGCAAAATCAAAAGCATTCAAATCTGGAAAAGTCAGAAGTTACGGATTTTTGAAAATGGTGCGAACGAACCTTTCGGTTCAACCCAATGTATTGACATAAAACGCTAGGATAGTACAGCAAGCAGGAGAACAGTACTCATATCTCAGTTTGTGTTTTGAACCGAGTGGAGGTGTATTGATGTGATAAGAAAGCAGCTTTAGGTAGAGGGAAAAGCAGGTGTTGAGAACATTGCTGATCGCATTGAGCGGTCACTCATCGGGTCAACTGATCAGATCTACGAGCTTTACGATTGATTTTATAATCGTCCTTGTCTCATTCATGCAGAAGTTTAGTTTAAAACATTTATTGGAGTCAGAGTCGGACTTCAAGAAGTTATGGGAAACGGTGATATAGAATAGACAGAAAGTTCTAAGAAATAAAAAACTACAGCTAATTTAAGAAAGGTAACGAAAAATATGCGTTCCCCAGAAGAAGATCACTTGAATGTATTACAGCTTCTCCTTAACAAATTTTTTCTGTAGAACAGTCTAGGCCCTCTCTCCTTACTGGGGAGTCCTCATTTGAAATCTATAGGGTGTCCCAAAAAAATGTATCGAACGTTTGATCGTTAATATCTCTTTTCCCAAGAAGTCTCTTGCCTTGCTTCAGGTACCGTTTTGTAGAGCTGGCTTCAACTTAGATTTCCATTATAGAACGAATCACCCATCTCTCTTCATTACTGTAGGGTTACGGTAGAAACTTGAAACATATGGTGCCAATGTGGAAAAAACTGCCGTTTCAAAATTTTTCAAAAAAATGTGAAAACTTGTGTATTGGGATTTTTATGGACGCTGAGTTCAATACTTAACTATTCACAAGATTACGAAGCTTTCTAAACGGTGTAACCGCACTTTTTAGGAACATTGAAAAAAAGGCCGCTACCTCTCATTTGGCATAACTCTTCAATGAAGCATCATGATAAGTTGGGAACTTTACAGTTATAATCAGCAATTCTAATTAGCCTGGTGTAAAAGTTTTCAGGCTGTTTTGTTTCCTTTCTGGGGCAAAATATGGCCTTTCATTGCTTGAAACCCTCTTTGAAGTTTCTACCGTAATCTTACAGTAATGAAAAGAGATAAGTGATTCGTTCTATAATAGAAATCTAAGTTGAAGCCAGCTCTACAACATGGTACCTGAAGCAAGGCAAAAGACTTCTTGGGAAGAGAGATATCAACGATCAAACGTTCGATACATTTTTTTGGGACACCCTGTATAGAACACCCCATCCAAGCAAAAAGAAAACAAAACTGATAAGTTTGTCTTGCTTTCTTTATACTTTTTTAGGCTGGACTTGGCGCGTCCCCTACGCAGTTTGCGCTCTCCCACGCGCGTGCTCTCTGATCATTACCTAGCCTCAATTAGGTCACAAAGCCCCGCCTTCCAGCCGCCAAGCCAGTTGAATCAAAGGTACATTATATCGTGGATTCTTTATCTTAGGCAAAAATTTTCAGCTTATTCTACGTAGCAATCTGAAGAAATTAAGAAAATTAGAGATAGCTATTGAAGAGCATTTATGTAGGATAGCGAGCCTCTTCTCGCACTTATTACCTTCCTCACAAAAAACAAAAATACAACCCATTAAAGGAGATATCAATAACATGCTCAAAGTGGTAAACATAGAAAGAAGACGATCTGAAAGTTTCACTTGCTTGACAGCTATAGATATTTGTTGCTTTTCAGTTAAGTACAGCACAATATTGAATTTTTCAGTGATGTGAAAAGTGCAGTGGTTTCTACAGTTTATTTCATTCTAACACACATTGAGCCAGAAACAGGAATATGAAAGGGACAAAACCTGACATACGTCACTCATATTCTACGAGAAATTAAGAAGGATAACTTCAATTAATGGATTAAAATTGCTTACAAAGATAAATACCGTAGGTTGCAGGCGATAGTAGAGCTGCTTACGGCAAGAATATAAAAAATTACAAAAAATTACAAACTTTTTCACCGATGTTAGTGTTTTAAACAACCAAGATCAATATCTGTTGAATGTTATTTTGTTATTTTGCACCTATTATCTGACTGAATGATAATCTATGCCCTTTGGGACTCAAATAACTAATTGTGCTTCTTTCAAAGCCTTCGAGTGCTGCGTGAAAAGAACGAAGCAGCCATTAATGGATAGATCTTATTTTGCTCAGCTAACAAATATAATGAGCATTGGCGCAGAGCCAAAACTTTCTCCCTGCAAAAATATAATGCGCAAATGAAGCTAGCCTGCTGCACATTGAGGTAATTATAACACAAAACTCCTCTGCGCATAATTGGGATCAAGTTTCACCTTACTCTGCAAAATGAAGCAAGAAAGGCATTCTTCATTTTGCAGAGTAAGGTGAAACTTGATCCCAATTATGCGCAGAGGAGTTTTGTGTTATAATTACCTCAATGTGCAGCAGGCTAGCTTCATTTGCGCATTATATTTTTGCAGGGAGAAGCATTTCGACAAGACCAATGATCGGCTAGACATGTTCTAAGAAGTAGACAGAGGGCAGCCCCCCCCCCCTCTCCACCCCGAGAGTGAATCGGAAAATTTTTGAAAGTATCCTAAATGAGCTACTAGATTGAAGTGACTTGTTATTCAGAAATCAATCATCCATGTAAGAATTTTCGGTTACATCCATGCCTCATTTTCTTTGATAATGGGGTTATAACAACTCTGAGATTTTGAAAAATACGGTAAAAAAATCTCGGCTGGCTTGGCCCACAAATTGAAGAAAATTGTGGCAAACTAGTGAAATAAGGAAAAAGGGTAAAATTGCTCCACTTTCAGACTTTGTTGGAAATTCTATGATTTGAGGATTAAGGCGCCTATAAAGATGTAAAAACATGGTTGTAAAATCACGTGTTTGAATGAAAAAACTGAATAACCAAATAATTTTACGACCCGGAATAACAGGCGAAATAACCCATTTTATTCCAGAAAATTTTCCTTTATTTATATTTATGAAAATACAAGCAAGTGGGTATATGAGTGTCTGTTGTAATAAATAAGCATATCCTAAATAAGTGGGGAGTCCGCGATATTTTCTGGAGCTGAAGTCCGCTCTCTGGTGTAATCAAAACTTTTATTTGATTCCAAACTTCACATAAATAATGATTTATGTGAGATTTGATGACCAACTTGTAGAGCATGTTTTGCTCTTCCGACGGTGGCTAAAGCCATACTTCCAGAAAAATGTGCAGGATTTCGTTGAATGAAATGAAAACTCTGAGGCAAACTTTTATCTCAAAAATAGCAGCTCAATTTCCTCATCGGAAAATAAAAACGAAACATCAAGCTGGAGATAAATGGAGATATTATGCCATCTATGCATAATCCAATCCAGGCGAATAAATCCACCAAGCTCCATACTGTAGCTGTATTCTTCAAGTTCTCAATCATCGGCTGCTATTCATAATCTACTTATCCATCAAGGGTCCGTGACGCGTTACTAGGCGATGAAATTCACAAAGGTGCTGTCCTGAGGTGACTTCAGCAGTCAATCTAGGATAAGACCGGGGACCGCGAAACTTTCTTTGTTCAGTTTCAACAATAGAATATTTATTCCAATAATTTGAGTAATTAAAATTTGACAATAAACAAATGTAAAAATAACAAGATGAATACGGAAAATGGCAAGTAGAGCTAGCTTAACACGCTGCTAGCACCATAACATCGACTCTATTGCATCTCATTGAAGAATCTGTTACACACTGTTCCGGTTAGGGCTAGTCTTACATCTGAGCCTCTAGTACTATAGCGAGAAAGGATGGCAAGAAAAATCGCTGAGCACTCGCGTGTGTTGTTGACAGCTCTCAGTGGGTGTACGTTAATGACCAAATGTCCCCCATTAATTCAATTATAACCTACGGAAAGATACGAGCGAGAAAAACTCGATCCGAAGGAATAACAATGCTTCAGAACTCGATATGTAGGCAGTGATGATGAGATCTGCAAATAGCAAGCAAAAAACTCCATAAATTTTGACGAAACTTGAAGAAGTTAAAAATCTGACAATATGAGGTATAAAAGGAAAGAAAAGGGATTAAGCTCGCTTTTCATTGTTAAGTATGAACACGGATAACAATAAAAATATTTGAATAGCAAGGTTGGCTTCATAGAATGTAGAGATAGAAAAACAATTCCAAGAAAGATACATAAAGAAAGTAAAGAAGAATTACGTGCAGAATAAATTCAATAAATTTACACATAATAATCTTGCCATGCTCTCCAAGATTGCCGTCTGATACGAGCAGAGGAAATTCTCTTCCTTGTCTATTACGATTCATTTTCGCCTAAATTGGTACAGTGCACATTTAGAAACAATTATTAGGTTGATGCAAAAATAATGGCCGTTGCATACGCTACTAAAGCATATGGATACAAGAATATACGAATGAGGTACCATTTGATAGAATGAAGCAAGCTCAATCGCTACCAAGAATCTATCTACACGTTAGGTCTACGTAAAGTTTGATGCCAAAATCAAAGATAGGATCTTCACTCGGAAAAGTCCTACAAGTCTCCCAGTTGGTCATCACATAATAGGCACATAGTAACTTTCATTCATGCACATGCTGTAATTTTTTGTCACTTAGAATTTGAGAAAAAAACAAAAATCGAAAATCTGCAAACTCCGCCTTCAACTCCGCCCCTTTTCCCCAATTCAAGTATTGCGTACCACAGAGCCTCCGAAGCGTGGCTGTGAGATTTTAGCCTGGTATCTGCATTGATATTTTGAGAAAAATCACTTTGAGCTTTAAAGGCAGTGTCCGGGCAAAAACTCGATTTTGAGATTTTGTGCTTATACGGGCCTATTCGCCATGCTGAAATCGAAAATCCACATTGGAAAGCGCGAAAACGGCAAATAAGGGCTCTAGCGCAGGAGGCAAACAGCAAGTGGGCGGGGTCCTCCCCACTGTGAATTCACGCTCCCAGCTTCCGGAGCGGTCTTCTCGACTCCGCTAGCCGTCCAAATATCGTTACCGGCCATGTGCGAATGATTGACTTGAAATCGGAAGCGAGAAGATCGCTCCGGAAGCTGGAACGTGAATTTACAGTGGGAAGGACCACGCCCACCTGCTGAATTCCCTCCTGTGTTAGAGCCGTTTTTCGCCGTTTTCGCGCTCTCTAATGTACATTTTCGGATTCAGCGTAACGAAAAGGTCCGGGTAAGCACAAAATCTCAAAATCGAGTTTTTGCCCGGACACTGCCTTTAAGGACCCGCAGTCCACAGCCATTATTTTTGCATCAACCTAATAGAAGTAACTGCAGAAAACATAAAAACTAGTCGACATTGATGCCAGCGCATCATACCAAGTTCAGAAAAATTTATACTGGATTTTTTTTTGGTTTCTACCTCTAACTGTACCAGTAAATGAGTGAATAGCATGATTTTTTTTTCAAATAAAATTAGACTCAAAATCAAACATACCCGAAGCCAAATCCAAATTTGTGATGCCATTATCATCAACAAGAAAAGGCTCTATATAAACTGCGTCTACATTCAGAGTTTCTACAATCAAACGATTAATATTTAATGTACGAGAGTGGGAAGAATTGATTCAAGAATGGAATTCATCCATACCCCAGAATACGGGACCTTGTGAATCAGCGTTCTCATTTTTACTAGCATTGGAGCTACCGTGGTTTTGTCGATTTGCACACTCAAGCCTGAGTAAGGAAATATCCTTACTGGCGAGAAAATTGAGGATAGTTTACCCACCACATATTATATAGGCCTTTGAGATAAAGATAACGAAATTGTTCCAATAATTTTTTCGAAGGAAATGCCTCACGCGATACTTCACCTTCCACATTTTTGTGATCTGTAGATCTTACTCTAAAAAGTAGGTAAAATATAGAAGCCTGATTGCCAACTATAAACACCTGATGGCACTGTCGGTTTTGGCATGTTTGAGACGAGGAGATTGGCCACCGTCTGCACCTGACTTCAAAAATGCTTGTCATATAAAAAAATGCCGACGTCTGTACGCATGTTAAGGTTATCATTCCACTGTTGTTGTCCTCACCTCAGGCGATACATTTTTCTTGCCTTGATTACACGAGAAAGAATTTTCTTTGCGTGACTTCAACGCCGAAGATCGTGTGCTTTTCTGAATAAGCTATCCATGGAAGGAAGAAAGAGCTATCTTACCTTTTTGGCAGCAGACTTGCTTGAATAGGGTCTGTTTAGAGAAGAAGGAGAATTATCAACATGTTGTTCATGAGAAGAAGATGCTTGGCTCTCTAAAAGAAAGCGAACTTGGTTTCATGAACATTCTAGCCTTTTGACACTCTTTTTTAATCTTTTTTATGAGTGTATTTCATATGTAAGGAAAAGAAAATTTGGGAATCATATGAGACTTTGCACCCATATATGTCGCCCCAGCTAACGCTGCTAGCAACTCCGGCACAAATATGATAATAGAAATCCTTTTAACTACAAAAACAGAAAGATGAGATTTTTGATATTTCGATAAAACTACTTTGAACTTTGAGGAGCAAAAATGAAAATCTTTGGAATACCGTCCAATCATTACCATCTGGAACAACGTTCTCTTTGTCGCTAATAGACGATGGAATACTGATACTTCCTTGTATGTCACTGCTACCTTCGCGAATGTTTACAGAGGTCTTCTCTGAGCATAGCATGGGAAGTTGATCGCCATGACCGTGAACATCAAGCTGCAAGCGAGATGAAGAAAAAAATGCCTTTTACAAAATACTTTTCTCAAACTCATACTTTTGGAAACCGAGGGATATGGAACCAACAAGGGAAGGATACTAACTTAGATTCTTTTGAGATGAGACACATATAGCTGGAATCAACTTGGAACGCTGATTCCAAATATGCTGTTTCTGGCTGCTTAGCATTATTCTGATGCGAGTTATGTTCTCCTTTCTATGCAAAATTTGCGTGCTCCTCAACCTACTGATGCTACGTCGAAGTCTAGGTGGTTTTGCAATCGTATAATGCTCTTTTATAAGATCTAAAGAAATAATCTAATGCTAGTTCAACATCCTAGCACTTTTTCAGAGCAGATTCTTATTTATAAACCGTCTTACGACATCCAGAAATTTGTTAATTACTCACAACAGCGACCCCATAATTCACTTCGGAATAACGCTAAGCAGCCAGGAACGGCATACAATACCGCTCACATTTTTTGAAAAAAAGACGCGAATGTATGGACATGTATGGACATGTACGGACATGTCCATACATGTACGGACATGTCCATACATGTACGGACATGTCCATACATGTATGGACATGTCCATACATCAGCGTCGCGTGGCCATATCTCGCTTCAGAGCGGACGAATTTTGAATCCAAAGCCACCATTCGATTCAGCTCGGCGCGGAGAATCTTCTGATATATTGGAAGTGGGGGTACGATGTCTACTATATTCCGTTTCCAGATTTTTCAAAATGTTCTGCGGAGGTCCTTTTGCGAATACATGAAGCAACGCCTACCCAACATAGAAGACTTTGCTAAGTACTATTCGATAATAGTGTTCTTTTAGATTATTGTCCGCTACAAAATAGGCTCAGACTTTTTTCCAAAGGAGATAGAAGCGTTGGTGAACTTTGGAAAAATCACGCGTTTTTAAATTCTACTCGCCATAACTTCCTTCGGAATAAGTATATTTTGAATCCGAAAACAGCACCTTACTCAGCTCATCAAGGCGAATCTTCCTATATACAGCATGTCCTTGATATTTCGATTTCAGTATTCTTGAATCTTTCTAAGGACGTCTTTTCGCGAAGGTGTAAAGCAGCGAGCATTGCCTCGAGTAAAATCCAGCAAGAACCTATCGACAGTACTTTTCCTGTAGAATATAATATGCTAAATAGTAGCCGCAGATCTCTGTTTGAAGGAAATAGAACGGCTAGTGAATTGTGGAAAAATCTTGTCGTCCCAAGTTCTACTCTCCATAGCCCTAGAATACGAAGCTACCTCGCTAAACAGATGTGAGTTTCGAAATCAGCAGGCTGGATAACCTCCATGAGCAAGTTTTCCGACATGTTCGGGTTATTTCATTTTTTCTCGTTTTACGCTCCGGAAGCTTGCCGATGGATTTTGGTCAAAATGTTGATGCTCTTGAATTGTAAGGAAACTTCGCTTATAGAGGTTTTCGAATACGCTCTTTACGAAAATCGTGGTCTTTGAGGATTACAGGGTCTTTTTGGAGAGATACGGTGAGGTGATTGTAACTGCGTCACGAAAGTGCGTAACTTTGCCCGCTTTTCTCGCGTATCTGTCAGAAACCTTGCCTGCTTGCTTTTCTCAGTCCAAGTTACTAGAAAATGGGCTATCGAATGGTGCATTACTCAGGCTCCAGTCTGTGAAATTCGCCGAGTTACGAGCCTACGAAAACACGTTCTCATGAATTTTGCCCAAAATGTAAAGATCGCATATCTTGTCGAAATTCCTCCATGAGCGCCTGTACAACGCGCTGATCAAATCCTTTCACATTTTTATTTATTTATTTATTTATTATTCTATACCCTCTTGGCGTTCCATACAATAGAATAGAAAGCAGTCATTTATACTCTAACCGCAACGATAGTGCATCATTTAGGTCTAATCTTGATAAAAATGTGAAAGGATTTGATCAGCGCGTTGTACAGGCGCTCATGGAGGAATTTCGACAAGATATGCGATCTTTACATTTTGGGCAAAATTCATGAGAACGTGTTTTCGTAGGCTCGTAACTCGGCGAATTTCACAGACTGGAGCCTGAGTAATGCACCATTCGATAGCCCATTTTCTAGTAACTTGGACTGAGAAAAGCAAGCAGGCAAGGTTTCTGACAGATACGCGAGAAAAGCGGGCAAAGTTACGCACTTTCGTGACGCAGTTACAATCACCTCACCGTATCTCTCCAAAAAGACCCTGTAATCCTCAAAGACCACGATTTTCGTAAAGAGCGTATTCGAAAACCTCTATAAGCGAAGTTTCCTTACAATTCAAGAGCATCAACATTTTGACCAAAATCCATCGGCAAGCTTCCGGAGCGTAAAACGAGAAAAAATGAAATAACCCGAACATGTCGGAAAACTTGCTCATGGAGGTTATCCAGCCTGCTGATTTCGAAACTCACATCTGTTTAGCGAGGTAGCTTCGTATTCTAGGGCTATGGAGAGTAGAACTTGGGACGACAAGATTTTTCCACAATTCACTAGCCGTTCTATTTCCTTCAAACAGAGATCTGCGGCTACTATTTAGCATATTATATTCTACAGGAAAAGTACTGTCGATAGGTTCTTGCTGGATTTTACTCGAGGCAATGCTCGCTGCTTTACACCTTCGCGAAAAGACGTCCTTAGAAAGATTCAAGAATACTGAAATCGAAATATCAAGGACATGCTGTATATAGGAAGATTCGCCTTGATGAGCTGAGTAAGGTGCTGTTTTCGGATTCAAAATATACTTATTCCGAAGGAAGTTATGGCGAGTAGAATTTAAAAACGCGTGATTTTTCCAAAGTTCACCAACGCTTCTATCTCCTTTGGAAAAAAGTCTGAGCCTATTTTGTAGCGGACAATAATCTAAAAGAACACTATTATCGAATAGTACTTAGCAAAGTCTTCTATGTTGGGTAGGCGTTGCTTCATGTATTCGCAAAAGGACCTCCGCAGAACATTTTGAAAAATCTGGAAACGGAATATAGTAGACATCGTACCCCCACTTCCAATATATCAGAAGATTCTCCGCGCCGAGCTGAATCGAATGGTGGCTTTGGATTCAAAATTCGTCCGCTCTGAAGCGAGATATGGCCACGCGACGCTGATGTATGGACATGTCCATACATGTATGGACATGTCCGTACATGTATGGACATGTCCGTACATGTATGGACATGTCCGTACATGTCCATACATGTCCATACATTCGCGTCTTTTTTTCAAAAAATGTGAGCGGTATTGTATGCCGTTCCTGGCTGCTTAGCGTTATTCCGAAGTGAATTATGGGGTCGCTGTTGTGAGTAATTAACAAATTTCTGGATGTCGTAAGACGGTTTATAAATAAGAATCTGCTCTGAAAAAGTGCTAGGATGTTGAACTAGCATTAGATTATTTCTTTAGATCTTATAAAAGAGCATTATACGATTGCAAAACCACCTAGACTTCGACGTAGCATCAGTAGGTTGAGGAGCACGCAAATTTTGCATAGAAAGGAGAACATAACTCGCATCAGAATAATGCTAAGCAGCCAGAAACAGCATATTTGGAATCAGCGTTCCAAGTTGATTCCAGCTATATGTGTCTCATCTCAAAAGAATCTAAGTTAGTATCCTTCCCTTGTTGGTTCCATATCCCTCGGTTTCCAAAAGTATGAGTTTGAGAAAAGTATTTTGTAAAAGGCATTTTTTTCTTCATCTCGCTTGCAGCTTGATGTTCACGGTCATGGCGATCAACTTCCCATGCTATGCTCAGAGAAGACCTCTGTAAACATTCGCGAAGGTAGCAGTGACATACAAGGAAGTATCAGTATTCCATCGTCTATTAGCGACAAAGAGAACGTTGTTCCAGATGGTAATGATTGGACGGTATTCCAAAGATTTTCATTTTTGCTCCTCAAAGTTTCTAAAGTAGTTTTATCGAAATATCAAAAATCTCATCTTTCTGTTTTTGTAGTTAAAAGGATTTCTATTATCATATTTGTGCCGGAGTTGCTAGCAGCGTTAGCTGGGGCGACATATATGGGTGCAAAGTCTCATATGATTCCCAAATTTTCTTTTCCTTACATATGAAATACACTCATAAAAAAGATTAAAAAAGAGTGTCAAAAGGCTAGAATGTTCATGAAACCAAGTTCGCTTTCTTTTAGAGAGCCAAGCATCTTCTTCTCATGAACAACATGTTGATAATTCTCCTTCTTCTCTAAACAGACCCTATTCAAGCAAGTCTGCTGCCAAAAAGGTAAGATAGCTCTTTCTTCCTTCCATGGATAGCTTATTCAGAAAAGCACACGATCTTCGGCGTTGAAGTCACGCAAAGAAAATTCTTTCTCGTGTAATCAAGGCAAGAAAAATGTATCGCCTGAGGTGAGGACAACAACAGTGGAATGATAACCTTAACATGCGTACAGACGTCGGCATTTTTTTATATGACAAGCATTTTTGAAGTCAGGTGCAGACGGTGGCCAATCTCCTCGTCTCAAACATGCCAAAACCGACAGTGCCATCAGGTGTTTATAGTTGGCAATCAGGCTTCTATATTTTACCTACTTTTTAGAGTAAGATCTACAGATCACAAAAATGTGGAAGGTGAAGTATCGCGTGAGGCATTTCCTTCGAAAAAATTATTGGAACAATTTCGTTATCTTTATCTCAAAGGCCTATATAATATGTGGTGGGTAAACTATCCTCAATTTTCTCGCCAGTAAGGATATTTCCTTACTCAGGCTTGAGTGTGCAAATCGACAAAACCACGGTAGCTCCAATGCTAGTAAAAATGAGAACGCTGATTCACAAGGTCCCGTATTCTGGGGTATGGATGAATTCCATTCTTGAATCAATTCTTCCCACTCTCGTACATTAAATATTAATCGTTTGATTGTAGAAACTCTGAATGTAGACGCAGTTTATATAGAGCCTTTTCTTGTTGATGATAATGGCATCACAAATTTGGATTTGGCTTCG